CTTTCCTTTCTTTCTTTCTTTCTTTCTTTCTTTCTTTCTTTCTTTCTTTCTTCTTTCTTTCTTTTTCTTTTTTCTTTCTTTCTTTCTTTTTCTTTCTTATTATTTTCAGTTAGCCACCGTATAGTACATCATTAGTTTTTGATGTAGTATTCAATGATTCATTAGTTGCATATAACACCCAGTGCTCAGATGAGATCTATGTTATAAGCCTGATTCTAGTCCTTTGAATATATTTGCCAGATAAAATATAAAACTCCAGATAAATTTGAATTTAAAAGGATCAACAAATATTTTTTTATAAGTATGCCCTGTGCAATATACAACATTTCAAGTATACATATACTAAGAAATCTTTATTGTTTATATGAAATTCAAAACTAATTGCTTGTCTCATATTTTTATTTGCTAAATCTGGGAACCCTTCTTGAGGGTCAATCACCTTTTTCGTTCTAAATAACTTTAGAATCTTCTACTTCTAGGATTCTTACTCTTTGTGTTTTGAAATTTCCTAAGGATTTGTGTAAATGTGGCTTTTACTTAATTTATTATTATTATCATTATTATTATTTTTTTAAATCCATGCTGCTCAGTACTTGTTGGACCCTACAATCACTTTCAGCTCTGGGGAATTTTCTTCTATTATTTCTTCAATAATTTTCTTCCTTCCACTTCTTGGTTATTGAGATTCCTAATTGGCTTGATGTTTGGGCCTCCTGAATTAAGTCTTTATAACTCTAATCTATTTATCTCAGTTTTTCATATCTGCTTTTTATTATGTTCTGACACATTTATTCAATGTTCTATTCCAAAGTTTTTGGTAATCAAAACTTTAATTTCTAAGAATTCTTTGTTATTCTTCAAATTATCACTTTCTTGGAATCTTATTTTTGATTTATGGATACACCAGTTCTCATATCTCTCCAAGGATATATTTTTTCTGTTTAGCTTTGTTTTAAATTCTCATCCATTTCCTGAATTATTTCTATTTCCTTTGGGGTCATTTCTAATACTTTATCTCTATCTTTTTCTTTCAGACTGCTGTTTTACCCCCATGTGTTTGGAAATCATTTTTTATCCATAGTTAGGAATAAAGGACAGGTTCAATGATTCTAGGTAATGGGGAAGGTTTCCTCTGTTAAATATGTCTTCCCTGAATAGAAAAGATGACAAGGAGCTGTACGTGTGCAGGTAGATCTGACCATACTCTGATCTGTGTGAGCAGATGAGAGGCTTGGAGTCATCTATATGGTAAAATGAGTAGTATTCCAGGATCCTAACACTAACTGCTTTAGGTCTCCTTAGGGAATTAAGTTAAAACAATTTTTTTAGAGAAGACACTCCCACACCCAGGATTATAGCTGTGCTGCCTGTTGCTCTTGGGAGGTGCATTTGTCTTCTCCCTGGTTGCCTTGTAGAGAGATTTTTGATTAACTCTTATTTCCTTTTGCATCTATCCAAGGCTGCAAAATCTTTTAGCTTTGTTCCATCTGCTTTTTTCTTCCAGACATTTGTTGAAATCATGAATCCATCAGTGGCTCCCCTCTCATTTTCTTCACTGTTATGTGTTGAGTTTATTAAAACAATTTGGGGGGAATATGAGGAAAAAAGGAAGACAAATGCATGTATTCAGCCTACAGTCTTGAAACAGAAATTCCTTCCTTTCATCCACTCGCTATCATTTCCTCCTGAATGTCCTCTAATGAAAAGATTTTATATCTGAAGAGGTGCATTTTCATCTACAAAAAACCCACATGCATCCACATTTACTCTTCAGAAATTGGAATGTATGTTTTTCTAAAAATAAATGTCTTAAAATAATATCACATATGGTTTCTTAAATAATGAAGTGACATAGTGTATGTGAATGTGTGTAACACACTAGCTGGTATAGATAGTTGCTCAATAAATCTTTTCATCTTTTTTTATTATTTTATTTTCAGAAGAAAGAGCTCAAGCACATCTTCTGTAATGTTGGTACAAAGAGATAGTTCAGTATGAGTTGCTTGAAAAATTGGTGAAAAAAAAATAGCTACCCTGAATGTACCTTGTGATTAGAAGTAAGGACTAATGATTAAATTCTCATAAAACATTTGGAGCTCAAAGATAAAACTCACCATGAAACTTGTGACGTTCTTCATTCTAGTATAGCAAATGCTGTTAAACTTTTAAAAAATACAGTAATAAGCTAAAGTTTCATTAAACTATAGAGTTAGTAAATCATGAAAATGCCACTATGCATGAGATACCTGAAGATCGGAGGGGTTAAGAAGTTTTCCTAAGGTTCCATAATGAGTAAGTCACTGAACCAGACCTCAAACCCAGATCTTCTGACTATGCCTTTCCTCCACAGCAGAAATTCAGAGACTTCTAAGAGGCAATTCAATATATGATGTTTTAATTTGTTCTGTCATATTAATATTAATAAATATTAATAATATTTCATTTGCAGTGAAATTGTATGCGTTAACAAGTCAAGTCAATGGTGAGATGCAGGTCTATGCCAGAGCTAAACTTTTCTACCAAGAAGTACCCGCTACAGAAGAGGGTATGATGGGAAATTTCACTGAACTGTCTAACCCAGATATCCGGGCTTCTCAGGAATTTCTTAGGAAATTTGCTGGGGTGAGTTATTCAACTGCACTTGATAAGGAAGCAAAGTCATTGCAAACATTGAGCTCACATGTTTCTGTGTTGTCATTTAAGTCATATTGAAGACATATAACTCAGTCAAGAGTTTAGCCTGAAAGCCTGTTTTAAGACGTTCAGAAAGGATGGGTTGCATCAAACCACTTGGCATTTCATCATCCTAGTACCAACTAATCTCTCATGCTTCAGAGGAAGGTGAACTAGCAGTGCTAATATTATAATTTGGGGATTAAGAAGACATCTCTTTTTAGAGTCTCACAGATGAAACAGTTGACACCCAAATGATTGATGAGAGATCATGCTATTTGGGATGTTGGGGTGATTTATTGATTTCCTGTAATACAAATTCAATATAGTAAGGAAATGCATGCTTGTGTTTGGTTTTAAAATAATAAGTACAGTAGAATCTCTTCATATTATTAAATACATAGTGCAGACTTTGCCTTGAAAGAATATGATCTCTTTGTAGCTCTGGTCTTGGGTGAAACTATTTCCTTGCTTCCCCATCATATGGAGACAGACTGTATAGTGTAGTGGCCAAAATCTTGGGCTTCAGAGTCATTAGGTTCTTCTATTTAGGGTATAAGCAACCTTGGAATTGTTTCTTAAATGCTCTAAGTTTCAGTTTTCTCACCTGTGACTAGGGCATAACCATAGAACCTACCTCATAGGATAATGTGAAGATCAAATTAGATAATATGTATCAAGTGCTTGTTTTGTTGTAAATAATTATCACCCAATAAATCTACTTTATTTCTACCACTAATAATAACAGGCTTTCATAAAATGCAGTCATTACAGTTTAAGAAACTTTATTTAGTTGTTAGAATAAACTTAATAGAGCTGCTGAAACAATAAAGCTGCTGTTGGTCCTACTAAAGACATAAAGTTTTAATTGGCAAACAGGTTTCATCCCAAATCATTTTGAAGTCATCTATTGGAAATTTGGAGCCCATTTTATTCTGATAAAAGCACTGGGTATTATATAAGACTGATGAATCATAGGCCTGTACCTCTGAAACCAATAATACATTATATGTTAATTAATTTAATTTAAATAAAAAATGTAAAAAAAAAAAGAAACATTATAAATGTTTGGGTTAGGTTGTCAACCTCCTTAGAAGCACACTCTTAAGAATATCGCTAGTGTTGAGGTGAGGTTCACTTCACATCCAACCTCCCTGGAGCACCAAGTGCCTGAGCAGAAAGAATTGGATCAAGATGGAGCACCCACTGGGGCCGACGTGTGTGAGCATCAGCTGTAGCTACAAAGGACTATAAGGCTGAAGATGATGGCCATGGCTGTTTATAGATCAGGGAAACCTGGAATATTTCTAATCAGTATTGCTGACTGATTTCATGAAGAGGTTTTTCTGAGATAGTCAATCTGCTAAGCACTTTAGAAGTATTGTCTTGATTATGTTTCACAAGAATTCTAGAAGGGCAGTACTATTTTTATCCTTGTTTTTTTACGTTGTGGAAACTGAGGTTTGGAGATGTTAAATAAGTTGCAAAGGTGATGCAGCTGGTAAGAGACAGAGCTGGGACTTAAGCCCAACGAGGTCTTCTGACACCAAACTCTTTACTCTTAACCAGAACATTTTTTTTTTCCATTTGTCTCATGAAGCAGAAAAATCCTTGCTGTGTTTGTGTGTGTGTGTGTGTGTGTGTGTGTGTGTGTGTGTGTACCACAGACCTCAGTTCTCCTCCAGCCTGGCCGAAAGTAATCCCTCCTGCTTGCCTTGTGGTGAGGCCGACTTTGATCCCAGTGCATTTAAGAAGCTTAGTTAGTAATCCAGCTGTCTTTTCACTCCATGTGGAATGCCAAGCTGACCACAAGGATGCTGGTCAGACAGAGCCCATGCACACGCCCATGGACCTGGGAAAGGAAACAGCCTTATGCTTGCATATTTGTGTTGGAAAAGAAAAACCTGCTCTTTTCAAACAAATATAAGGAGTCCTTCTTAGTAGACAAGGCTCATTGTGAAACCATGACCTCTAACTAAGTACAAACAGTCTTTTTTAAGAAGTGATATTTTGGTACTTTGACCTTAATAATCTGCTAAATTAGTAACCAGGTCAAGATACAAGGAGCTAGGGAATATGAGTATCTGACATGATTTATCCTTATGTCAACTGGGGAAAGGCAGATTGTTTAATTTAAAGTTTTGCTTTCCTTTCACCACTTAGTGACACAGGACAGTGGGAAAAGGTTTTTAAACTTGTTACAAATACGTTTACTTTAGCAAATAAACAAATGATACCAAGATGATGTCAATGGCATGGCTGATAACTTCCCTCAGTTTTAGCTTTCTAGTGGGGGAAAGCAGCAATTTATAAAAAGTGACCAGTATTTGATGGTATTTATCTTTTGACCTCTCGCAGCTCTAGGTCTGACTTGTTCTATTTCGTGGTTTTTATACAGTGGCATTTAACACTTTCCTTTTAGTTTTAAATTCCACTGGATGAACTTAAAATGATCTTCAAAACAAAATACATAGGCAGAATCAAAACTAAAATGAAATTCCTAAGAGAATTTTGCTATTTTATATTAATCCATATGTAGGAAGACAGCATCATAAGTGTCAATGAAACTAACAAAATGGGAAAAGATGGAAGAGGAGTACGGTACCCTATTCCAGCCAGCCCCAGAATTGAGCTGGATGTCTACCAGACCATTCTGAACACCCACGAAATAAGCCTGAGATGTAAGAAGATACATCCGGATCGCTACAAACAGAATATTACAGGCGGTTGGTTTCAAGGTACGAAGGGGAGCCATGATTCCTCAGGCAGGTATCAGAGGATAAATGGCAGGGGGAGGGAGCCTGGCCATCGGGATCCTACACCATCGGTGAACAATAGCCTCCCACACTGGTGACAGGGCACAGATTTGCAGACTGGTAGTGGTGGGGAAAGGACTTTAGGGCAGCTCCCCAGACGGAACCCTGGAGTGGCTGGGCTGCCAGGCGAACTGGGGGCGGCTGGTGGCTTTAGAAGCACAAAGGGCAGAGACATACCCCAACCTGGAGGTGAGGACTGGGAGCACTGAAGAGGGGCGCACAACCCAGGACAGCAGTTTATAGCAGCACAGACAGAAACAGAGATAGTGTGGCCTGGAGAGCTCACTGAAGAACAGACTGCAATCTCTTTGCTCTGAGGCAGAGGGTTGGAAACATTCTTTTCTGCTCTGACTCTTGGAAGAGACAGGGAAAGCTGCCAGGGAAAGCTGCCAGAGAACAAAAGCCCCAAAAAACTGGTTTTCACTGAGCCCATCCCCACCACAGGGGACAGGGCAACCTGCCCAAACAACGTTGCCTGAGTAACAGTGCAGCAGGCCCCTCCCCCAGAAGACAGGTTGGGAGACAAGAGGCCAGCGCCCTAAGGTCCCTAGAAAACAGGTGCACCTTGCTTGGGTTGTGGTCAATAATTTAGATTCTATACATTCCCTCAACCACCCCTCAACAGAATGACTAGGAGGAGGAACCCCCAAAATAGGAAAGACTCAGAGATTATGACTTATGCCACTGACTTAACAATGGATTCAGATATAACCAAGATGTTGGAGAAGGAATTCAGGCTAACAGTTGTGAAGACAATAGCTAGAATGGAGAAATTGATTAATGGCAACATAGAATCTCTAAGGGCAGAAATGAAAGCTGAATTGGCAGAACTTAAAAATGCTATCAATGAGATCCAATCTAATCTAGATAATCTAACAGCTAGGGTAAGTGAGGCAGAAGAATGAATTAGTGACCTGGAAGACCATTTAATAGAGAAAAAGGGAAAAGAGGAGGCCAGGGAAAAACAACTCAGAATCCATGAAAATAGAATCAGAGAAATAAGTGACATCATGAAACGTTCCAATGTCAGAATTATTGGAACGTTTAGAGAGAGGACTAGAAGATATATTTGAGCAAATCGTAGCAGAGAACTTCCCTAATCTGGAGAATGAAACAAACATTCGTGTCCTAGAGGCAGAGAGGACCCCTTCCAAGATCAAGGAAAACAGGCCAACACCCCGGCATGTAATAGTAAAACTTGCAAACCTTAGAACCAAGGAAACCATCTTAAGGGCAGTTAGGGGGAAGAGATTCCTTATGTACAGAGGGAGGAACATCAGAATAACGTCAGACCTATCCACAGAGACCTGGCAAGCCAGAAAGGCCTGGCAAGACATATTCAAGGTACTAAATGAGAATAACATGCAGACAAGAATACTTTATTTGGCAAGGCTGCAATTCAGAATGGATGGTGAGACGAAGAGCTTCCAAGACCAGCAGAAACTGAAAGAATATGTGACCACTAAGCCAGTCCTGCAAGAAATATTAAGGGGGATTCTATAAAAGGAGAAAGACCCCAAGAGTGATATAGAAAAGAAATTTACAGGGACAATCTATAAAAACAAGGTCTTCATAGGCAACATATGACAATAAATTCATATCTTTCAATAATCATTCTCAACCTGAATGGCCTAAATGCTCCCATAAAACGGCACAAGGTTGCAGATTGGATAAAAAGACAGGACCCATCCATATGCTGTCTACAAGACACTCCTTTTGAACCTAAAGATACATCCAGACTGAAAGTGAAGAGATGGAGATCCATCTTCCATGCCAACAGACCTCAAAAGAAAGCCGGGTAGCAATTATTAATATCAGACAAATTATATTTTAAACTAAAAACTGTAGTTAGAGACACAGAAGGACACTATATCATTCTTAAAGGGTCTATCCAACAAGAAGATCTAACAATTGTAAATATCTATGCCCCCAACATGGGAGCAGCCATCTACATAAGCCACCTGTTAACCAAAATAAAGAGTCATATTGATAACAATACATTAATTGTAGGAGACCTCAATTCTTCACTCTCAACAACAGACAGATCGTCTAAGCAGAAAATCAACAAAGAAACAAGAGCTTTGAATGATACACTGGACCAGATGGACCTCATAGATATATACAGAACATTTC